GTAAGGGGGGCGCGTGGGAGGGTAGAGGTAAGAAGGTAAGAGAAAGACTCAAAAGAGAATGAGAGGCAGATAGAAAAACAAAGGGATAGAGAGAGAAGAGAGAACGGGAGGCAGGAGAGAGGGAGAAAGAAGAAAAACGTAAGCTTTTATTGTTGTGAATATGAATAAGGTGTTCAGTGGTTTACAAAGTTAGTATGAATTATCTAAATTGAATGATTGCACTAACCCTGATACTTTTATAATCCTGCAAAGAGTATTTTTGTTTTATAATACTAGATTCTCATAATATTTCTGAACTTAATAGGATTCTGCTGTTATTTGGGGAGTGTTTTATATTCATCCAAGGCCTGATTAAGCTTATTCTTTTCTTAAGAGAATAAAGGCTAAAGGCTATAATTTTAGCTGGCATTTTTTCAATACCTATTTTACTTTTAATAGCCAGAATTCTAACAATTGTACATCTGAACTTACTAGGGCACATCAAAATCACACAAGTTTTCCAAGGAGTTTTCCTTTACAAAATGTACATCTCTTTGGTTCTTAATTGTTTAATCTTTTGAGTTGGTATTCACAAACACTTCTTAAACATTTTTAAAATAGGTAGCATGAAATGTTTATCTATATTAAACTTTATTTAATTTGTAACTTAAGTCAAAAATTTTCCTAAGGCAATAGATACAAGACTCCATACTAATAAAATCTTGTTAATATAGTTATGAATAAATATTTTACTGTTTCTATTTTTCATTATTTCACAAATCACTTTTGAAAGCAAAGTTCCATAAAATATAAAGTGCAAGTTTGTATTTGCTAATTTGCTTTCGTATCAGAAACCTCATTTCACCAGGTGGAAACAGAGATAAGGTAGTCTATAGTAGTTTCATATTCAAGTCTCAATAATGAGAATTGCAACGGTAGCTTTAAGTGTACTTCTTCTACCCAAAGGCATGTCTGTGAGAAATAATACCATCAATAGCACAACTTTTGAATACAAAATAGGCTTCAGAAAGTATTAGAATGAACAGAATTAGTCTCAGCATCCAGTATACACTGAAACTTCTAGAAGATGTGCTCGGCAGACTTGCAATTCCATGGTAAAATCAAGCAACGTAAATATGTAGCCATCCTGATTATGGTGATAGAGATGTGGAGTGAGGGTATCTTCTCTAGCTTTTCTCCCTTAGCACTACTTAGTTGCTGATAATTAAAAATGCCTTTTCATTTCTAGGTGTCTGGAGCAAACTCAGAAGCTGACAATTTTCCATATACATTGTCTATCCACTGTCATTAATATTGACTATATACTACTGTAGTAACAAACATCCTTCAGAACCTCTTACATGAACTCATTAATTTCCCAAATACAACAAATCACTTTGCAAGAGCAATTGGTTATAAATGTAAAAACTATAATGAACTCAGAAACCAATATTATCATCATATAGTATTAGTGTATGATGCTTAAACTTCCATCATTTGAGAACCTTCTACTACATTTCCATTGACTTAATCAATGTGCTTTTAAATGAACAAGTCTAATTCTGTATATTGCACTTCAAGTGTCTTTAACATTGATTTTTCACCCTATCACATGTATGTCTTAGATTATACAGATGAATGGGAAGACTGTGCACTACATCTTTCCTCATGCAAGGATAAAAATAACAAGAGACTCCAAGGATCACACAGTTTCAGGTAAAGCAAATCAAATAATCTTTTATTCTAATGTCAGCTTGATGTATGCACAGATGTTTGGACTTCAGTTTATACGGCTCATTAAATTTTAGAAAACATCACTTTGTCTATGAAAAATTGTATGTTGGAAAATGTCAAAAAATATGTAGGCTATACATTTGAACATAAAAACATTAACGACATGATCATTAATATGAGGATTACTGCATGGTACATATTTACCTCATTCTTTTCATTAAGTGAATTTTTTCAATATGCATGCTATTAGCAATTCTCCATAATTATTACTTTATTAAGTAATATGGTCACTGATTTTATGAGTATAAAGCAGTCTTATACAGGAAGTAAAAAACTATCTTGAATTCTTCTAAGGAATGAATTTCCCTATACCTACTCAATTTGAATACTGTCAATTATACTGGAGTTTTGCTTGTTTGTGTCCTTTTATAAACCAAAACTGATGACAGAATTTTTAAACTTTTTATTTTGAAATAATTTTGGACTTTCAGAAAATAATACAGACATTTTTTTTGCCCACTCTTTGCTCAGCTTCTCTAATGTCAACATCTAACCACAATAAAGTGATCAAACCCAGAATATTAACATTGATGTGATACTATTAAAACATCTTAAACCTGATGAAAATTGTGAGTTTCCCACTAAACCACTGTTTTTTCCCCCCCTGGTCTATGATTCAATTCAGGCCCCACTTTGCATTTAATAGTTTGTCATAGCTCCTCCATCTCCACCAATCTGATTGTTCCTCAGTCTTCCTTTGTCTGTCATGACCTTGGAACTTTTGAAAGATGATGGAATTTTTATAAGACAGATATTTCATTATTCAAATCA